CTGAATTTGAATGTCAATGTCACTTAGTTTCTATGAAAACGACTGAAAGGTAGCCCAATTTGACAAAATTATTTCTTTTATCAAAATTCATTAATACTATTATTCTGATCTATTCCAAAATAGTTTTAACATTATTACTTTACATTGAAACACATCAATGATTTGACAATATTCTAAATAAATTCTTTAGTTTAAAATTATCTTTTGTAACAACTTTTCTATAGTCTCACATTTTTGCACTTCAGAAATAATTAAGACATTTCTAATGATGTAAGCCTATTAAAGTTACCAAACATCTGAGATTGACCTGGAGAGCTCTGGATTTGTTGCAAGGTCCAGTATTTCAAAATCACTGTCTTGAATTAAAAAATGTTCAGGATTTTTTAATAAATGGCTACAAAAGATGATGAATTAATATACAGAAAGGGAAGAAGATTGCAAAAACCAGAAATTGTTTTTCTGAGGTACAGATATTTTCAGGATGAAATCAAATAATTTTTGGATCATGATTTCTTAACACATCTTCACTACAACCCCAATTGTGGAATTCAGCCAGTTTGACAAAACTGTCCTAAAATTCTTTATGTTCAGCAAATCAGATGTTGAAATAAAATTATATTACTTATTTAGTTAAATTATCACTTGCTCAAACAGTGAACCGGTTCTTGAGTTACTTGAACCCTACCACTAATTAGACCTGCTGCATACAGAAGAAAATATTCTTTCTTCACACTAATTTTAAATTCTCAGCCAAGGCATTATAAATTACAAGCTGTAATCTTTCTTTAACATTGAAATTTCTTTTTTTTATAAAATATCCTTGCATTTCTTTCTTAATATATAACTAAGGCTCACGCATTTTTCAAGAAAGTTTTTTTACAAGAAATACTTTCATTTTAAACAAATTAGTTTTTAAAGTAATTTTACATGGAAGTTCCAGCTCTTAACCAGTTCTTTGAGTTTAAAATCAAATTACCGAAGTTGATACCACTAATAGAACTTGCACATTTTTACACATAGCAGCCATATCAAATCTATCTAATTCAATAGGATTCTTTTTTTTAATTCAGTATTGAAAATATTTTTAAAAACTGAAGAATAATCAGAAGATAATTTGTAATGATAATTACATTTTTAACCATAACTCTCAACTGCAAAATGCTATGCTAGCATTTTGTTAGCTGTATACTACTAAACAATGAAGAGTACACAGAAATGCAATGAATGTTATAAAAGCAATCACATTAACCATTCTAAAATTAGCCCAGATGACACATTAAATTAACTCAGAAACTTCATTGCCCTCCTAGTTTTAGTTATGTTCCAGTCTCATCTGAATAATGTATTATATCACCAGAAAAGAATATGATTGCAATCACATACATTCGGTAACCATTAAAACTGATTTCAGAATAAGTTTTAAAATTGTATTTAAACAACAATTTTGTTTATTACATGAATAAGTACATATCGGTCATGAATTACAAACAAGAAGTAATGCATAAAAAAACTTTCCATGATATATAAGTTCATGTTGATTTCAAAAGAAACACTGATGTTATATAAATAGATTTCAAAATATGGTAAACATATGAACAGGGCTGGTGCAAGGCATTTTGCTACCCAATGCAATCTTTGCAGGTCCTAAATTCTGCTGCCTGATATTACTATATATTTCAAAAAATCTGCTGACAAGTGCATGTCCTATATTATAAAAATTTTGTCATCCCTAAATTTTGCTTGATGCTACACTTAATACTAAAATTTTTAACGCCCCTAAATTCTGCTGCCCAGTGCAGCAGCACAGGTTACACTAGCTCTGGCGCCAACCCTGCAGATGAGTGACAAGAATGATAAACAGCAAATTAAAAAATAAAAGTCAAAACCCTCTACAAAATTTTATACATTTTAACATGTAAATAATTTTACTAAAATTAAATTCAGTGTCCAACAGCTAATTAATTCCTAAAATACAACATTAATAAACCGTTATGTCATGCTTTGATTGCTTACACTCATATAAATGATCATCAACAATTTTCACAGAATATAACTGTACCGGTTTTATACAGGTAATATGGTATATTTTCTAGCATAACACAAACAAATATCATCAATAAAATAATCACTCTGAAATATATGTCTTGAACAACCTTTCATAAACATTCCAAACCTTTAATACTTCAACCAGAGAACTTTATCACAGCATCTTTGTGGTATTCACCAAGTTATTTACTAGCTATGCTTCCCTTTGCTGAGCATATATTTCACATTTTTCAGTATACTGCTACAGAATTTACACTCATGTAAAAATAAGATAAATCACCAATATAAAAAAATAAAAATTCATTTCACATCCAAAATATTTATACTCACACATTTACAGGAATGTAAAGAGAAATATTCACAATACTTCTGAAATAATTTTTTCCTTATACTTACTTCCTTTCAGAAAAAAAAAATATGATACGATGTAGCATATTTACATGATTAATTTAGATAGTCAAACAATAACATTATAAAAATGAGATAGTTAATAAAATTGAACATTTCTATTATAAGATCATTTATCATCATCATTTATTTAAGATATTTTGAAGACTACTGGTATAGTACTTAATTATTACATATATTAAAAAAACTGCACAAAAATCTGTCTACTTAAACACTCATAAAAAGTTATGCATGAAGTCCCTATTTTTTTCTTAACTGCAACAAACATTTAATTAAATGTGAAAGCTGACTCCATTTTCATTTTTAAAATTCTGTTGTTAAGTGTTATAATTCTGTTAAGAAATGGAAGCGATTTATACTATTAGTGTTAACTGAAATAATATGAAAATATTTATGCTCAGCCAAGAAAAAAAGAAGCATAACACCTTATAACTATACTAAGAGCAAATATGTCTTCAAGTATATGGAAATACTCTTTCCAAAACTATACATATCAAGCACTTTTAACATTCAATTGTAGATACATGTTTGATTGCACTATGTAATATTTTTCAATTATGTATAAATACAAAATCAACACTGCAATTAGCAACATCACCATTCAAAATACCAGCTATATACTAAAAAAGACTTAAAAGCAAAAGCGTTAAGGACTAATGAAAACATCCTAAATAACTGTACAAACAATAAAAGCTAAATTCACTCAAGACAAAAGCTGCTGAAATGTTACTAATTTTAAAAAATAAAATTTTAGCTTTAACCATTCTTGTACATAATTTGATCAAAACTACATAAATAGAGGAATTACACAATTTAAGTGAACAACAAAATGGCAGTATACAGAGTTACCATAATATTTAATAGATAAAAATTTATCTTACTAAATGTAAACATTAAATATGTTTCTCCATTTCTCTTCTTCATTTCCATGCAAATAATATAAAGCCATAAAATACATAGAACTTTTTGACATACATTTTATATATGTGCAGCTTCACACATAGAGGTACCTCAAACCTCTTTTGATACATCTTCCTGAAGAGGATGCAGATAGAAAGTTACATTAATAATTAGTACTTCATACATAGAGGAACTTCATTTAGCTTTTTATAAATTCATTTGAAAGCTACAAATAAAAAATTATTTAAATAAAGGTCACAGGAGAAAATTTATATACAAAATATTTAAATAAATGTACAATATTTTCAAAAGAAACAAAACTGTAAAACAATTTTTATGCAAAATCTTTCAAAATACATAAAAAAAAATTTTACTTTTTTTTTATTTTTATTTTTTTTTTTTTTTTTTATCAAGCAGGTAAGATTTACTTCTTTTTAATAACATAGATAATACCTTTAAGTCACAGACAGTTAATAGCATTACATACACCTCTGGTATTAATTTTAAAAGATATTTCAGTGAAATTTCAAAGTAAATTAAGTATATAATAAAAATTACAATAAATGAATTTATTATATTTTAAATTCTGCAGAATAACTGAAAGTGCAGTAAAGAGCAAAAGCAAAGTGCAAAATACTTTTATGCTTCAAAATTTTCTGATTACCCATGTAATTTAAATACTGTCAAAATAATAATAATAGCAACTGCATATTATATTAGAAAATATTCAATGCACTTTTTTCAGAAAAACACAGAAGTATAAACTTATAAAAAACGATTGCTCAAAATCTGTACCCCTTAAAATCCATATTTTCTTCTGGAACAATGTTATCAAATGTGTATGATATATACAAATATTAATATGCATAACAATATACAAAGAAAAATAAATAATTAGCATACAGAATTAAATGAAAAATGTAATTAAGTACAGAATCTAGAAAAGGAAATTATAAAGAACAGAAATTTCAAATTCTTAACGACATTTACAAATTTTCCAAAATATGAATATTTATTATTAGCATCTCAGATATTTATGTAACAGAATTATATTTCAAAGTACATTGTTAAAAAGAACATCTCATTATATAGTGATAAATATTTACAAAGACTGCTAAAATGGCAACATTAATTGCTTCAAATATATATATATATATGGTATAATAAAAGCACAAGAAAAGACGGAGCACTGTTGATGCGTAGTTATGCAATATTGAAGAGTTCTGATTGGTAGTATGATTATGTGTTGACTTTGTCAGTGTCTAAAAAACTTGGCAGTCGAGGCAGTTTTACTTTTATTTTTATTTGCAATTGATATTTCTGGCCACAGTTCACTTGGCACTCGAGTTGTGCCTATTCAAGAACATTTACATTTTTGATATTATTGCAATAGCAAGCAGCATAGCAAAATTACATCCAAGCAAAGCAGACACAGAAGCTGAAGTGCATAGTTAAGAAAGATGGAAGCATGCGAAGAGAAAAGTTTTGGTTTACAATGGTAGTTTCAGTTCCCAATTATTATGTCATCAGAGCTGCGCATGCTATAGAATTATCTAGAAATGATGCAATCCAGAGAAGTTATTGCGATTTTTAGAATAGAGGGAGAATTAATGTTTTACCATTAGTTTAAATTATAATTTTGATTCACATATTTTTATCTTATATATATATATATATATATATATACTTAAAAAATCAATAGCAACATCCATGATGAAAGGTCTATCGCTTAATTGGCAGTGAACAAAGTTACCACATGGAAAATTCCTTGTGGCAGAAAATTTAATCATCTGTCTTTCACAACTGAAATCCACTTCTTAATATTAAATCTGATGAAATGGAATTCTAAATACCCAAGTGCTATGCACAGCAAACCAAATAACATGCTTATATTAAAGCTGATAATGCAGGAATTCTTAAATTCAAAACTGTTGCGGCAATAAGACCGAGTATTTCTAAGCCTAATTTAAGTGTAAGGTTCTCGTGCGGGAAAAGCGATTTTTTTAAATTTCAAATTTATTACTAAGATTACTTAAATTTCATTGTGCAATGCTATAAACAAAATATAATATCTTACTACGTATACCAAATACACTAGAAAAATGATATGTTGGCACATCTATTTCATCTATTGCTGCTAAAGTTTTAGTATAAGGGCTTACTTTTAATTAAGAGTTGATAAACAGAATATCATTTACAAAAGGAATAATTCTAAATTTATTATAATATATAATAAGAATTAACATATATTAATTTAAAATGTGAAAGGAAAGGAATGTCATGGAGAGTAGCACAGTAGACTTCATTCATGAAATAGCCCTTCACTATTATTAAACATATAAAGCAGAAATGTGCACTAAAAACATCCAAAGTTATGCTGTTAAATGACCCTTTTGTTATCAAAAAGCTATAACGTTTATGAAATTCATCCTTAAAATGCTTTACAAATATCAGATTGCATTCAAATAAAAACACATCAATTCTGCACATTCAAAACATGAGATATGACTATCCATCCTAATAAACTAGTGTGTAAATATTTAATATCAATCAGTAAGTCATACTTGCCTACTGTTAGTTGGCAGTTGAAGTTATGAATTCTTAGTCAAGGAAATCAGTCCACATAATTAGTAACAACTAAAACATATTTTTAAAAAATGATATCTTTGAAAGCATCATAAGCAGTTTAAAGCTGCTGAAAAGGAAGGACTTTTCTGGTATTAAAAAAAACATTAAGTTTCAACTACACATAAATTTTTATCATTTTTAAGAATGAGAGAACTCATTAAAAATGAGATTCAGATCTAAGATAACCTACATTAAGTAAAACATGAGATTCATACATAATAAATGCCTTTAGAAACTAAAAATGAGATTCAAATTTTAAAAATACTTTAACGAAAAATCCTGACTGAATATTAACAAATTTATTCAGTATTCTGTAATTTCAGAGTTTAAGAAATATGCTTCAAAAAAGTCAGTCACAAATTATACAGAAAACAAATTATACTTACAATAATGAACACTAAAAAATGCTTATGTTACATAAAAGTGCAATTTTTCTGGTAATGTGAATAAATTATATTGTTATTACACAAGGATATCAAATAGAAATGCAGCACTTTGAAACACATACAACAAACATAATTTTTATATACTTCATGAAAAGAAACATACATACACAAAGAAGAACTAATACATGTAAATGACTACATGAAATCAGTGACAAGCATTTTACAGAACTTATGAGTCAGTAAAAAAACTTTAACAATACAAAATATTCTGAAAATATTAAAATAAGCAGATCTAGTGCATTTAACACCAGCTTTGTGTATGTACATGACACAAAGTTTGTAAAAGTTACCCATACAGAAAACAAAATAAAAATTTTGAAAAACTCCAAATATACATTAGTAACAATTTTTTAAACATTAGACTATTACTAAAAAGTTAACAAGATAATCATTTCAGATCCAAAAATACTATAATAAATACTGTTGAAAACAATTTTTTAATATAATGATTGCAATTAACATTTTTGTTTTAGTTCTGTTGCACAGTGTTTACCTTGTATGACAAATAGAAACACAACTGTGGCTACCATAGAAAAGTTCTGGAGCCTATTACAATATAAAGAAAATCTAAAATAGAAATTAAAAGAGCAATCATGGATCAATGGGCGCTTCTAACATAGACATTAAAAAATTATCAATAGGAGTGTCTCCAATCAGTTTGAAGAAAAATAAATGTTCCAAACACTTGAGTCCTATGCTTCGTAAGGCGGGCAAGCGAAGCAAAAGTTTTGCAAATCTTCCTGGTTGATCAGGGTAATTCTGTTTACAGTAGTCCTCCAAAGACGCATAAACTTTTTCTCTCAAATTTTCTATTTGCTGATTACATTTTAAACCTTTCACCTCTACAAAAATAATCAAGGAATGTTACATACTTTTTAAAGATAGACATACTGAAATATAAAAATATACATTAACTTCAGTACTAAAAGTAAGATTTTACTTATTTCTACAGGCTTTTAACAAATGGTTTCATTACTATTAAAATTTTCAACAAACACTTTATTACTAGCACAGTATGGTTATCTATAGTTCACATGAGATGGCCCTCAACATCAAATCCTTAGTTTTGAATTTCACTGCACTATTGTGCACTTGTGGCAAAACACACTAAAAATACTCTTCATGTGCGAACAGACATGTATCTGGAGACTACTTTTTTCATAATATGATTACAACACAAATCACAATTGTAATCTTTCTTGCGGTTTAGATTTAAGTGAAGTTGCAAATGTCGCTTTAAATGATGCTTGAGTTTAAATGCTTTGTGGCATTCATCACATATATGTGGTTTTTCAGTAGAATGAGTAAGTAGGTGGTTGTTGAGAGTTTTTTTTTTTTTTTTTTTTTTCAAATGTTTTGTAGCATGAATCACATTTAAATTGTCTGTCTGCTAAATGGATTATCATATGTTTATTCAGTTCTTCATTACATTTGAAGTTTTTTTCACATATATGACATAAATATAGTTTATAATCAGAGCAGACAGGTGATAAAAATGTTTCACATACAGGACACGTATGGGATTTGTTTTTAGAATGGACGACTAAATGTTTTTTAAAATAACTTTTATCTTTAAATGTTTTTTGACACCCACAGCAGGAGAATAATTTCTCACTGCTATGGTGACAAGCCATATGAGATTTGTAACCTTCTCTCCATGTCAAAGTTTTACAACATTTATCACATTCATATGGCTTTTCACCTGTACGAGTACGAAGATGGCCCTTATAGCCATGCCTAGTTTTAAATTTTTTTTCACAAACAGTACAGATGAAATCCATAATTTCAGACTTTGTAGATGCCATCTAATCATATAAACAGACCAATTTTCTTAAAATTTATAGATGCTTTCCTAAAATATGCTCTAAGAACAGAGAATAAACAGAACAGAATTCCCTACGATAAGAATAGAATTCAATGTCCAATAAAACATATAAATTTTGTGGTTGCCCAGTGTTGCCAGATCGTGCAATTTTTCGCAAATTTGCTACTTTTGACAAACCTATGCTACTAAAACTTGAATCTGCACGATTTTGCGAATTTTTTTGCTACTCCATCATTTCCCTGCGCTACTTTTGGCTACGTTACAATTTTTAAGGCATTGTAAAATGCGTATGTGTTAAAATAATTTATCAAAATTAATTTCTAACAAACATAATAATTTATTTAAATTAAAATTAAAAGATGGCAACTGGCAATCTTGCGATCATAGCACATGTGCACTCAGTTTTCATCACCACTCGCTGGTGTTTTTATGTAGTTGGTTTATTGCTTTGTTTATTATCCTGTGAGTAGGCTAGCACACCATATATTTATTTGGTTTAGCGCTGCTGGGTTAACTAAAGTGTGAATTATGAGTAACTCTAAAAAATTCGGCACCTCCTTTCCTGACTTAAAATACCCACGTTTGAGGCATGGCTATACAGAAACAAAACAGACAAATCAAAAACCTTACTGAAAGCTACATATAAATATGGACTAATGGCATCGTTGATCATCATCATTTCTCGAAGCATAAGCAAATATCCTGCCTCAGAAAAACATAACTTTGAATTGAAACTTTCTGTATTTGAAGCAGGCCGTGTATCGATATAGATATCGATCTCTTCAGAAAAATTTATAAGAAAGAAATGCCATCAACTTTGTCTGGCAACAACCAGAAAGCAAAATTAATTGAAAGTAATTATCAATTAAAGTAACATAGAATGAATTAAAAACAATAAACCACCAAGTCAAAAGAATTACAGTACAAAAATCAAAATCCGAACATTCAATAACCGGACCTCCAAAGCCCTTAAAGGGAGGGAAGTTCCTGAAAACTGAATGCCACCATAGTGTAATGCAGGTACAAATTTCAGGGAATAATGCTTCAGCTGATACTGAAGCAGCTGAATAATTTGGAGATGAATTCAACGAACTGCGAACGGGCTGGCTGCATGGACGTTTTCGTGGTTTTCCCCGTGTGTAACGTGTATACGAGCCAGTTTTCCTTAGAAAGTCCTCCACGAAGGCATCCCTCCCTTTAGGCAGATAGCCCTTGTGTGCTTTGCCATAATTAAATAATCCAATCCAATCCAACGAACTCATTAACAATGAAGAGTAATCTCCAGAACAAGTTCATAATACTGATGAAACTGCTCTTTTCTGGCAATATGTGGCCCGAAATACCTCCGCGACATCTGCAGAAATGACTGCAAGTGTTGCCAAAGATTCCAGTGCAAGATTAACGATTTTACCTTGTGCAAATGCACACATGGGAAAAGCCCGCCAGCGGCCGAAAGGTGAAGTCACTGAAAACTGGTAGTTCCGTCCGGAGTTCCAATCCCAGAGAACGGCTGCGTGGGCATTTTCGCTGTTTTTCTCTTGCGTAATGTGTATACGAGCCAGTTTCCCTTAGGTGGTCTTCCAAAAAGGCATTCCTATTCCTTCCCTTAGAGAGATAGCCCTCGCATGCTTCGCTGTAATTGAATAAATCAAACCAAATGTAATCGGGAAAAACACACAACCTCGGGCATTTAAAAAGAGTTACAACTTTCCATGTCAACTATCATGCAACTAAAACAGCATGGATGAACCAAACATTATTGAACAAGTGGCTTGAAAATCATTCCATATCTGCGGCTCGGTGATGTTTCATATTGGTTGTCTTGATTATAGAAAACTGTTCAGCTGATTTAAAGTTTAACTAAACGATCGTTCGTTTTATTCCTTCTTGCAAATTATCCAGCACTCAGGGTTAGGCTTAGGTTATCTGATTACGGCAAAGCACGCTAGCCTAATGGAAGGGACTTTATAAGGGGAATTGGCGCACATCTACGTTTCACAACGGGAAAACAACAAAAACGCCCATTCAGCCAGCCCTTTCATCTACAATCACACCCAAGTCGAACTATCAGTATTCAGCGACTTAACCACTTGGCCGTTTGTGGGTCCATTCGGCCAATGTATATCAGAGTGCTCAAATATAAAGTAGCCTTTTTAAAACTGATGCTAAATTTTCTGACTAGCGGCAAGACTATTCAAGAATGTTTGAAATACTTTAATATCATATCTGGATGGAACGTTAAGGTCATAGGAAAACATGTCTGGAGATATTTTTTGAAAGGTGTAACAAAATTTATGGCCAGCTACCATAGTTCATAGTGATGATGATGACAGCTGCCTCTTTGAAGATTTTCAGATATCACAAGCAAAAGGCAAAATTTTTCAGTTAATGAAGCCTGTGAAGAAATACAGAGAAGTAAGTGATAATGAAATAGATGATATAATAGAAGTTTTCATTGGGATGACAATAACAAATTATCAATCAATTAACGGATGGCAAAATGTATAGTATGATTTTGAATCCAGAACTAACTTCCTAATGTAACTTTTCAAACATTCCTCCTTGTCCCTATAGTTGTATCATTGTGTTTAGTAAAATTTTATACTAAGAAATAAAATGCAAAAAATTCAATGTTCCTACAACAAAAATTGATATAGGTAAGTAATTCTAATTTTTTTTTTAAACTTATAATTTTTTTTGAATTTATTGCCCTCCTTGAGGGAACAGTTAAAAAATAAATTAGGATGGGGGCTGTTTGAATTTATAATTCAGGAGGTGGTTGTTTTTATTTCCATTTAATGACATTCAAAGATATTCCTCTATGTTTTACCAATGTACAAGATTCTTTAATTTATATTTTTATAAGGCATTTCTTCCGCCTTCCTAGCATGCCTTCGTGGTGTGGTGGTCTGCACGCTGGGTGTGTATTCCAGAGTTCCGTGGTTAGATTCCCGGCGAAGGCATTGCTTATTTTTCATCTCTCCTGCTTTAAAAATAAGATAATTATAATAACGGCTTTTTAAAGCTAAGCGGGGGGGGACACTTAGTTTGGCACAGTTTTGAATATACATGTAAATTTTCGAATTCTCTGAAAATGAAACCCAAAAGAATGGAGTTCCACCCATAAATAGTGGATAATATTGTTAAAGCTGACGAATTTCTTGCAAATTTAAGTAATCAAACTGGAAGAAAGATAATGGGCACTCTTAAAGGAAATAAACTACAAATTGAACCTCCAGATGCTGACTCTCACCGCTTTATTCGCAAAATCATAGAAGAAACAAATCTTAAAGCAAATACATTTCTTCTGCGTGAAGAAAAAGTGATTAAAGTCATAATCTGCCAGTGACCATGAAACCCAATTATATTGTCCAAGAACTAACAAACCAAGGCTTTACCATAAAATCATATCACTATCATGAGAAACAGAAAGGACAATAAGCCAATGCCGCTTTTCTTACTTCACCTCCCTAAGACAATGCCGCTTTATTCACTTCCCTAAGACAATGCCACATTAGGAAAGATTTATCACATCAAGAACATCGGATATATGAATGTCACTGCTGAGGCCTTAAAACGGAAGTCTGGCCCTCCACAATGTTATCGTTGCCAGCAAATACTTCCACAGCTCACTTTTATGTACTCGTGACTGGATTTGTGTGCATTGCGGTGGAAATCATGAGCCTAAAACTGTCCAGCTAACTTTTCCAAGTGTCCAGCCAGACTGCAAACAAATCAGAAGTTTACACCGAGCAATCCACCAACCAAAAATCCTTGGAATTTACAAGACAACAGCTTTCCACCTCTCAACGAAGAAACAGATTCTCCGAATCCTGAAAATAATGACTCCAACTTATCCGAAACTCCAACCACAAGCTCCACCTTTTCAGAATTATTTAATTTGAGTTCATTAAAACAATATGGACTGTTATTATAGAAGGCCTCAAAACTATGAAGAAGCAAACTTCGCCTATAGACAAAATAAGTGCAATTGTGGACATTCTTGACAAAATTGGT